GGACCTTTATCTCTATTTTTCATGTTTTTGAACTTGTTAATTAGACTATACGGATAATACGAGGTCCGGCCATTAAATAACGAGACTGGTTACGAAAAAGGGTTTTATTATAAAAATTATTCTACATTAGAACGATCCCCTTCAATATACTCCCCTCTTCCCGCCACACACCTTTCCATACATTCGAAGATCTGCACGAACAATTTGGTTGATCTTGATCACTGTTTCCGAAGTTGAAACAGTGACAGGGTGACCTGGGCGCTTGTCATCTTCAGTGCTATCTCGGCCCTGAAGCGCTTACACCACTCAAAAACACGCGTACGAGGGCTGTGTCCCCATAGGCCTTTTGCAACAATTTATAGCACCACTCAGTCCGAGTTTTTTCAGTTTAACAAGAAATTTGAGGTTGATACGCTACTGCACAAATACTATAATAGTGAAGAAAACGTGTTTTGGTACGTGAATAGAGAAGATTTCCAGATATCCATCGCACTACTCGTTTTTCCCCACACCTCTAGGGCAACCTGTAGGCGCGCAGTCTCGTTATTTAGTAGCCGGACCTCGTACTCGTGCTACTGACCTCGTGTGTCAGTAGCCACCGCATCCAATAATTTCGGTAATTTATCAAATTCGAAGCAAAAAACTCAAAATTAATAATACCACTCAGCCACCATTAAATTAATTTGATTTGGGGAAATGCACAGCTAGAATCGGCGTTAGTTGAAAAATCAGAGCAAATGAAGATTTTCTGCTTGTTTCTCAAATATGGTTATGCATCATTAATACACGGAAGCGCAGAAAGAAAGAAAGTTAGGATTTCGAGATTATATAGTTTAAATCTTGACTTTGAATTCGTAATTTCGGATTCGAATTTATACAGAAATACTCATATTAGTACGCTATGCGTTTCATCTTTCCAAACTAATAAATATTGAAAAATTGAATATAAATATACTGCGTGTCCCGTCGAAAATAGTTCATCCTGAGTTTCTATTTGTTTTTTTTGTTTTTTACCACATCACATATGTTCATATCAAAGTGACTTTATCGTATCAGCTATAATCAGGGGCGTTCTTTTCGAATTGACCACCATCAATTAGGTTGTCTTCTCTCTGGATACCTCTCGTGCTACAAATTGCTTGCTGCTTTTGCATTTTCCTCGGTTTGTATAAAACAAACTATTATATCCATGGAAATGGTGTGAGAAAGACATTAATGAGATATTTAGCCAGTGTAACAATAGTGGTGAACCAAGAGAGATTTTTCAAATAGTATTTAAAAATTAAAATGACGCAAATCTTTGGCAATGGTTTAATTGTGGTTTATTGTATAACAACCTGGAGCAGCACAAATATTTACCAGGGTTTGTAAACCACTTAGAAGAAGTACCTAGGTGGTTCATGATAGAGTCTAATTGTTCAGACAGATTTTCTTCTAGATATAGGACATTGTTTATACTATGAAGTTATTATATAGATGAATAAAGAGTTTTTTCTGTGGTGAAAAAAAATCCATTTTTCATAATTCTCATACTTCATTGCGAATGTGTTTGAACATTGAACAAAAGTCAGTAATTGAAGAGGGTCTTTACTGTTTAAATCAAAATTTGACAGCTACCAGTAAATATTTGCATTCTCTTTTCACTGGTTCGGACTTCCATTGTCTACTATATAAAATGATTTGAAATCCCTGAAACAAGTAAAAAATAAGATTAACTGGATTCAACTTTCTGTCAGAACAGCAGTACGGATTCAGGAAGGGGAGGTCGACATGGATGCTATATTACCTGACCTTGTTTGTGTACCAGTCCTTAACATCAGAAATTTATAAATCGTTGGATTCATCAAAACCTGCATTATGTATCTTTGTTGACGTATCGAACGCGTTCGATACTCTTTGCCATAAAATACTCCTCGGGAAGCATATGAAATGTTTTATTCCTACTTGAATAATCGAAGACAAATAGTTGACATCGATGGATAAAAAGTAGTCCGATAACAATTACTTGCGGAGTTCCGCAAAGTACGGTCTTGGGTCCAATACTATTCATTATCTATATAAATAGTTTATTAAAAATGCATTCCGAAGGAAACATTCTCAGTTTCGCTGACGACACAGCAATCTTTTATGATGCGGAGACATGGCAAGACCTTAAGATGAAATCAGAAAGAGATTTCAAAAACATCATGAAATGGTTTCAATATAACAAATTGACCCTAAACGTAAAAAAACAAAATATCTACCATTTACCTTTTATGCCAATAAACTACCGAACATAGGTCCATTAATTATCAATCAAAACTTATTGATTCCGGACAGAACCTCAATTAAATACCTTGGCCTAATGATTGATTGACACATGAAATGGAATTCTAACTCAAAAATTACGGGGATCTTTATTTCGCTTCAAACTATTGAAACAGTGGCTCGAAATTTCCTATATGACTACTGTATATTATGATTTGGTTCAATCGCAAGTTTCTTATGGTATTATAGGTTGGGGAGGTATTAGGGATACCCACTTGAGATGTCTGGATGCGTTACAGAAAAACATTCTAAAAATTCTGTTAGGTAAAGGTAGAACGTTCTCCAGTGAAAGTAATGTCCTAGATACACGGCAGCTATACTGCTAGAAGATTATTTGTCGCAGATAGTTCATTTTTTGAATTTGGTAAACTTTTTTATACACATTGTATTCTCTCTAAGAAGTTGTCAAATAACTGTCATTGATATATGATTGATAAGCCAATTGTATTGAACTTTCTTCTGAATATATTTGAGTTTGTTAAGTACTTTAATAGTTTCCGATCCCTATTTCGTCCTACATTCGACGTATTCAGTCACCGGGTAGAGGAATTTCGAATATTTAACATTTGGCGACCGTGATGGAGAAGGTAGTGAAGGTACTAGCAGTGCAGCGAAGAACATTCGACCAGGTTTTCAATGATATTTTGAACATGTTTGGCCAAGAACACAGACAAGATTGCCATATTCAGCAAAATTAATAATCTGGAGCAGAAAATCCAGGTCCTGATGGATTTGCATAGACAAATGGTGGATTTTTCATTAGACGAAGCCAAACTTTTAGCTGAAAATCTTTCAAATAAGAACATTATTGCTGACTCTCTTTCTCAATGCTCTAATGAAACGAAGAAAAAACTCAAACTACCAAAATTGAATTTAAGAAGTTTGGTGGTGAGATCAAAGAATGGCTTCCCTTTTGGAGCCAGTTTCAGAGGATGCATGATGATGAAGACATTGTACCAGAAGACAAATTTCAGTATCTGATCCAAACATCGATACCTAATTCAAAAGCTCGTCAACTCATACCAGTGCAAAAAAATTACCCAAAAGTAATTGAAAGCTTGAAACAGAGATTTGGGAGGAAAGATCTTCTTGTAGAATTCTACGTGGGTGAGTTGTTGAAATTAATACTGAACAATTTATCGACTCAAAATAACCTTAGCATCCTTATGACAAAATGGAATCTCAATTGCGAGCTTTAGAGACCCTTGATGTAACTTCAGATACTTGTGCAGCCATATTATATCCTTTAGTGGAGTCTTTCTCCCGGAATACCTTATATGAGAACGTATGGCAACGAAGCAGTCTTTACGATAGTGACTCTACACTCAAAGCCAAGCCTAGGGACTCTTGTCGACCTCTTTTTGCCTCTAACAAATTCCTAACGGTGGTCTCCCTATTTATATACGAGACAATCTGCCTTGTCTTCAAAAATAGGGTATTGTTTAACAACTTGGACGCGCCAATGTATCAAACCAGGCAAAGATTCAGCTTTAAATTACCGCTGCCTTCTTCGTCGCTAGTTAAAGATTCCATTATTTACAACGGTCTTAAAATGTTCAATCACCTTCC